CATCACTTCCGAAGCACTACCTTTATTCATTCATTCTCCATTCATACACATCCACACTCTTAGTTCGGCATCATTCCCAGAAGGGCATTTCCTCCTTCCCCACAGTCAAACTCACGCATTCTAACTCAAAAAGTGTGACCCACTGTTCTAACTTCACCTTTCAGAATCATTCACTCTACCTTTGCCGTTGGTCCAACTGTCTTTCTTCCTCTTCCTTTTTCTTGATCACTGTATGGATATAACTGTGCGTGTTAATCCAACCTAATTTATTTTCAATCATTCTCTCAATCATTTCTCCCACTGTAACAAAATTCACACCTGTCTCTCTCTCCATTCTTTTCCTTTCCACTATCCATCTGCTGCAATCTAACAGCGCATGGGTCACAGTGTCCGAGTATCCACAATATAGGCATTCATCTGTATCAGCCTTTCCGATCCTATAAAGGTAGGCCCTAAAACACCCGTGTCCTGTGAGCACCTGCGTCAGGAAATAATCCAGTCGCCTGTGGCCACAGTCCACCCAAGCTCTTATGTTCGGGATCAGCATTTTCGTCCACTGTGCCACATCCTCCGTATTGTTCCATTCTTCTTGCCATCTTACAACTGACCTTTCCCTTACCTGTCTTCTCTCAGCCACAGTAAGGTTTGGGCCTCTTCTTTCATAAAGCTCTTTTCTTTCCATCGCCAAAACATGCAACGGAATACATCCAGTGATGGTCCATAAGGCTACCGCAGACATACATACCATAATGCCACTCGTCTTTTTTAATTTTCTTCCTTAAAAATGCAATATGGGGAAAATAAAATCCCTTCTGCGCTACAGCAAACTATTACACTGATCGTTTTACCTTTTTCCCCAGGGCTTACGCTAGGAACACATTTTGAACTTTTTTCTGCTAGAACTTGAACGACTCTAGTATTCAGTTGTAATCCTGTTTCGTCAGTATTAAATATGTGTCCAGGTTTATCATAAAAATTATATTCGATCATAATTCTGTCGAGATCAGAAAAGTAGTTATCGACTGTATCTTTGGACATTTCTAAAGCTCGTGCAATTGAGATGTTCCAATTGAAATTTCAGGTCTTCGTTTCAAAAAGAGTTCTAACCATTTTTTACCAGCCTTACTTAAAAGTAGAAAATTAGTAACTCTCGTATCAGGTTTATGAATTTAAAAATTTACTTTTTCTACATTAAATTTATTTGGGATTTTTAATCGCTGAGCTAAATTAAAGGCCATGATTCTTACTTCAGTTCTGGTTGGTGCAAAGCCTGCTTTTTGTAGTTTTTTTAATATTATTAACTTTATTATTATATTAATTATATTATTAACGAATAATAAGATTAGATAATTTCTCGTTTATAATTTTCATAATGAATTTATGTTTATTTTCCTTTGTAACTGTCAGTCATCTCAAGCTGCTTGGAAACTTGTGTTCCGTCGGTAAGGTGGAAAATTCAAATTTAAAAAAATTTTGACAGCAGATATTGTATGTTGGGATTTTATTTACATCTCCCTCCCCTCAAGTGAGCACTAGACCGGCGTTTGTGTGATAATTTTTGGATTCTTCAAACAACGGTGTTACTTTTTTGATGTGGAACAGTTTGCTTATTACACATGTTTTGGAATTGTTTACTTAATTTTTTAGTATGATTGTAGGTCTTATTTCATCAGGTAGTATGTTTGTGTTTTCACTTTCTAGTATATATTTTGGAGAAAACTTTGTTATCGTATGATCTGTTTTATTGTAGGCTTCTACACATTTTTGTGCAACTGTTGCCCATACAACTTTGTTTTTTGTTTCATTTATTTTACATCTTATTTTGTTTATGAGCGTTTGGTTTACTCTTCCATTCAGCCCATTAGAAAATGGTGCATTAACGGCAGTGAATACTAATTATGAGTGAGTACTATTATGCTTAAGAAATTGTTTATATTGTGTTGAGTTTATTCCAGGGTATTGATCTGTCCACACTATGTCCACTTGGTAATTGTCTGTTACCATTTTTGTCAATTTTATAAAGTCCAATGCATTTTGATTCTTAGATGTTAAAATACAGACGTGCCTTGTAAAATGATCAATTAATATATGGAGGTACTTTTTTGTTGACCGACACCCACCAAATCCTCGAACTGTGTCTATAGAAACGACCAGGTCATTTTCATCATCTTTGGCTCGACAATCCTCTGTGGATCTTGGCCTGCTCTAAGACTCGTCGCCATTCTGTTCGGTTTTTGGCAACATGTTGCCATCTTCTGATTTTTAATATTCGTAAGTCGGTTTCTACTCCATCTAACCACCTAATTCGCGGTCGGCCTTTACTTCTTTTTCCTACAGGTGTTCCTGTGGTTAGCTTTTTAGCAATGGTATTTTCTGGCATTCGTATTATGTGTCCAGCCCATCTCAGTCGCTGTGTTTTAATGAACGTTATGACATCTGGCTCATCAAAGAGCTGATACAATTCAAAATTATATCTTCTGCGCCACTGCCCTTGGTCGTTTACAGTTCCAAATATTTTGCGGAGTATTTTACGCTCAAATATTCCCAAAAGTCTTTCATCTTTCTGCGTTAGTGTCCATGTTTCTGCTCCATATGTGAGGACCGGCCTCAGCAATGTTTTGTATATAATAATTTTAGTTCTTCAGGTCATTTTGCCGGATCTAAATGTGACATCCATCCGTATTTTGGTTTTCTTGATTTAATTTTTCACAGTTATTACATATTTTTCGTATGCTTTTTAACAAGTTTTTTGCTGTATAAAATAGAGTTATCATGTTTATCATCTGTGTTTGTCCTAAATGGCAGTAGGTATCAGGTGTCATTTTTATTAGATCTATACTAAATTTTTCTGGTACTAAAATTTTGTCTTTTTTCATATTTTTCTATAATAAATTCCATTCTTAAATGTCAAATTACTATTGCCTAAATCTATTTGATATTGTTTTATCTCTGCAACATATATTATGTTAATTTTTCTTATTGATTCACTCATTTGTACTTCATATAATAGTGGTTTACAAATTTAATAAAATCGTGCAAGTTTTTCTCTGGTTCTAATACTGGATTTCGGCTCAGACAGTCCGCTTCTTTGTTTGTTTGTTGCTACTAGATTATATTTAACCCTAAAGTTGTATTGTGATAGGTAATAAGCCAAATCACCTAATTCTTTATCCGTTCCAGCTTTAAAATTCATATCTTCCAAGGGTTTATGGTCAGAATATACCTTAAATTGAAATGAAAAAAGGCAGCAAATATTTGATTTCACGCAAACAAATCCTATGTATCTGTTGATACGTATTTCGACCTAATAAGTCTCGTCAGAACAGCTATTCATAGAAGTTCTCAACGTGAAAAATCAATATTTTCTGCCTTTTAAGAAGCAACAATAACATGGCTTCAATACGGATGCGCTAGCGACATCTAATTACAAATCCGTAAAATAGTTTCGAAACACAATTCAGATTTCTGCTTATAATCTGAGCCTTCTAAAAATTGCAAGGCAAACAGACGTTGATAAAAGATGTTAAAAGGGACATGGGGAATATAAAATTTGCATTCCACGACATGTCTTTTACAACTAAGCAGAAATCCTTAGCGAATTGTGCTTCTAGTACTCACACAGAGTAAATCCGAATAAAATGAAAAAAGGCAGCAAATCTTTTAACATCTTTTATCAACGTCTGTTTGCCTTGCAATTTTTAGAAGGCTCAGATTATAAGCAGAAATCTGAATTGTGTTTCGAAACTATCTTACGGATACCTGAAATTCTTTGCCCATTAACCAATGTTGCCAATATTTTACTGCTTCTTTTATGGCTAAGCATTCTAGATATATTGCTTTTTTCTTTTTTTGTGCTTCTGTTAATTTTTTTGAAAAATAGTCCACTGGTCTACTAGTACCATTTTCATCGTTTTGTTTTAGTACAGCTCACACACCAATTATGCATGCATCTGTAATGATTTGAATTGGAACATTTCGGTCAAATCATAATTGGTTGTGAACACAATCAAGTTTTTATCTTATCAACTGCTTTTTGACATTCTGTTGCCCAAATAAACTTATTATCTTTCCTGAATAGTTTATATAGTGGGTCAAGTATAACTGCTCTGTGTGGTATAATTTTTTTATGAAAGTTTATTCTTCCCAAAAATTGGCGGACATTTTCCCTTTTGGCGGTCTCACCGAATTCTTTTCGATTATGTGACCCAAGTATTTTGCACTAGTTTTAGCAAAAGAGCACTTTGAGAATTTTAGTTTAAAACCTTCTTTCATAATTGCTTTCAATAATGTAGATATATGTGAAATGTAATCTGTGAATGTCCTTAAAAATATTATAATATCATCAATACAGTTTATTGCGAAATCTGACATTTTATATTTTCTTATTATATTACTCAGTATTAATTGGAAAATGGCTAGGGTTGTTTTCAATCCAAATGGTAGAAAGGTCCATTGGAAGTCCCTCTAGTGTTACAAATGCTTTTTTATGTTTATCTTCAATTTTTATTGGAATTGAAGGAATATTGGAATGGACTTTAAAAAACTCAACAAAATAGTCACACCTTAATCACAGCCTTTTCCACTGATAGAAGATTTAATAATAAAAACAGTAAACTGTAATTACTTTACATTAGACATTAATTCAGCATTCTGGTCAATTCCAATAAGGTATCATACCTGAAAATAACAAAGAAACAAAAATGAAAGCTATTAATAAAGTTAGATAATTTCTCTTTCATAATTTTCATAATGAATTTTTAATATCTATTTTCACTTGTCAGTGTCACTCATCTCAAGCTGCTTGGAAATCTTGCGTTCTATCGGTATGGAGATAAAATTCAAATTTAAGAAAATCTTGGCAGCAGATATTGTATGTTGGCATTTTCTTTACTTATATATATATATATATATATATATATATATATATATATATATATATATATATATATATATATATATATTGTTTAATATAACCTTTTAATGAATGATTACTTTTTTAGGTTCCAGTATTCTCAAGTCACAGCTCAAACTCAACCTCTTCAACAGTATGTCCCCCAAACTCAAGCAGTGCAAGTGACTCAACCAATGCAATCCTATCCAGTGCTGCCAGCTCCAGCCCAATATCAAACTAAAATGGTTCAACTGCCTCTAAGCCAAACTACACATATGTCACCAGTACAAACTGCAGAGACATACAGCCAACAAGTCCCCCTGCAGTTGTCTCAGATATCTCAACTACCTGCCCAGCAGTATTACTCACAAAGCCAATACGCACAAGCACAGGCGCAAGCACAGATGCAAACACAGGCGCAAGCACAGTTGCAAGTAGAGTCGAAGGATAATCAAGTCGAATATCCTTCATCCCTTCCACCAATTATAACTGGTTTTGAAAACTTTACTCCCGAACAACAGGAGAAAATCAAGGCTCAACTTACAGCTCACTTTGGAGCACCTCTTCAACCTTTGAATATCGGTAGAAAAGATAATAAATATCAACTTAACACTGACGAGTTTATACCTAGTCCTCAGGTTAAAACTGAAAGATCCTCAAACGTTATGAGTATTTCTAAGAATGTCAAATAGCGTAGGGACTCACCCACAATTTCTTCTAAAATGGTACAAATAGTCACACTAACATCTATATTTATCTAAAAATAGTTATGTATCAACTTTCTACACCAAAGTTAGTTATAACACTACAATAAACTTATAAAAGTTTTAACTTATCATCGCTTAAATACCTCGAATGATTTCTGGAAAGAAAACAAGCCAAGTTTCTATTTTATTAAGTTTTAGCTGTTTTCTTCTTTGTCTAGTCTCTGTTAGTTTACCTATTTATTATATTTCTTTATATCGCTCTAACCTTTTCTATGGTTATATTCGTATATTCTTTTTTCTTTTATATTTTTTCTTAATATTAATATTTTTTCTCAACTATTACCATTATTCTTTACAACCTTTCTTATGTTTCCTAATTATGGTTTAGCCTTTTTGTGCGCTATTTTAATATCATATATTGATTTTCCTTTTTTTAACCATTACTTTATTCTTATTCTTATATCTTCTTATAAGATCTATTCTATTCTATTGTATTCTATTCTATTCTATTCTATTCTATTATATTCTATTCTATTCTATTCTGTTCTGTTCTGTTCTATTCTATTCTATTCTATTCTATTCTATTCTATTCTATTCTTCTATTCTATTCTATTCTATTCTATTCTATTCTATTCTATTCTATTCTATTCTATTCTATTCTATTCTATTCTATTCTATTCTATTCTATTCTATTCTATTCTATTCTATTCTATTCTATTCTATTCTATTCTATTCTATTCTATTCTATTCTATTCTATTCTATTCTATTCTATTCTATTCTATTCTATTCTATTCTATTCTATTCTATTCTATTCTATTCTATTCTATTCTATTCTATTCTATTCTATTCTATTCTATTCTATTCTATTCTATTCTATTCTATTCTATTCTATTCTATCTATCTATTCTATTCTATTCTATTCTATTCTATTCTATTCTATTCTATTCTATTCTATTCTATTCTATTCTATTCTATTCCATTTTATTCTATTCTATTCTATTCTATTCTATATTATTCTATTCTATTCTATTCTATTCTATTCTATTCTATTCTATTCTATTCTATTCTATTCTAGTCTATTCTATTCTATTCTATTCTATTCTATTCTATTCTATTCTATTCTATTCTAATCTATTCTATTCTATTCTATTCGATTTTATTATATTCTATTCTATATTATTAGAATATTCTATATATTCTATAATATATTCTATATTAATCTTCATTCCGTTTTAGCGTTTTCTATACCTTTTTTAATCTCATACATTGCTTTCACTATCTTTAAACTGTGATATTTTTTATTCATTCTCTCTGTATCATTTGATTGTACATATTTTCTGTTTCTTTGAAGTGTTTGCTAAGATCTTAGCTGTTGCTTATTAAATTCTACACTGATTTCCCCTTTTCGCAATTCTTTCTACATTTTTCGCTTTTTTATATATTTTTTAGCTTTTTGCTTTATTAACTATGTTTTTTATTGTCTACTTATGTACTTACTTATTAGATTTTTTTCAAACAACTTTCACCTTTTTGTGTGCCTCTATATCTTACATCGTAGTTATTTAAACTGTCAATTGCTTCCTTTTTTTCTATATGTGTTTCTTTTTTCTCTATTTATTTTATGTTTTTTCTGTATTAGTGGTGTAGCGTTTTTCTCTATTATGCCTTAAAATTTTAGCCTTTTGCTGTACTTTTTTATTGCATTTTTGTTCTTTTTTATCCTTAAATAAATGGTTTTACTATTTTATTTTCTGTTTCTTTTAGTACTGTATTATGTTTGTACATGTTTTAGTTTTATACTCTGCTTTTTGGCTGTCCTTGCTTTTTTTAACGGTTTTAATAGTTTTTATTTTTGTTCTTTTTTGTGTTTGTTTGTACTGCTTTTTATTTACTATTTTACCTTCTTTCTCGACCATTTTAATTACTTTTTTAATTTTTATCCTTATTTTCTTTGTATATTTATTAATTTTTCTGTTTCTTTACCTTTACTTGTACTTCTTTTAATGATTTATTTTACTGCTTGCTGTCGATTTCGTTTTATTTTCAATTTGTATTCCTATTTCTTATTTATAATATAGCTTTACTTCATTATCTAGTTGTTATAATGCAATGTGGCTATATATCAAAGTAATCCATTTCACCTTATGCTTTTTGTTTTAATTGTTAATTAATTTTCTTCAAATTTGTCCTAAGATAAATTTTTTCATCTTTTCTTTAATATTTTTCAGTTAACTTTTCTTTTTATCACTTGTCATAGGTTCTAATCTATTTTCTTCACACTTTGTGATCTTTTTTATTCTTCTTTAGTTTAGAGCACTATTTTATCATATCTATAAACTCCAAGAAGTTGGATAATCTTACTCTTCCTTACTCTGTGGCTTTACAATGTCTCGTGCGTTTTATACGAATTAACAACATGCTTCTATTCTTTTCTGTTTGGATCAATCTCCATCCAATTCTCTAGGCCCATAACTTTAAGATATCCTGCTACATTATCTTGGCCTTCTTCCAGTTGGGGTCTCTTTCCATGCCAACGTTACTGTTCTTTCGTCAGAATACTTTCTAACCTTATTTCTTTTATTATGTGAGCGTCTGGATATAGTTCCTCCTAGTTATATATATTTCCCTGCTGCTCCATCAAGTAAAGGCCCAAAGATCTTCCTTAGTATTTTTTCCCAAACATGTAGTCGTTCTTCGTTTGCCTTTGTTATCGTCCATATTTCTCTACCATACATCACTACGGGTCGTAAGACTGTTTTATAGATTGACAATCGATTTTTTTAATTGAATCTTCTTTTATCTTCTCATAGAGATTTGATTTATTATTACACACTTGCCTTTTCTTCAAATCTGCTCTAGATTTATTTTTTCCCAATTGCATTAATGTTCTTTAGTTCACTTTTTCTTTTACCGCTCACTATTGATTCTGTTCTATTTTCTTTCTCCTTTGTAATTTTTTTTTTGAGTTAAGAGCACTATTTTTCAGATCTATAAACTTTCTTATTAATTTGATAACATTTTGTCTTCTTCCACAGTTTTAATTTAACGTTATTCGTCTTTTGTTACTTAAATTGAAGAAAGATCTTTATTTATATTACCTCTTAAACCAGCCAAGCCATCTCTTATTGAATAGAATTGATTATTTATGATTGACTATTTGGCCACTTAGATAGAATGATATGGGGGATCTGGGAATTTAATAAAAATAAAGGGAAAACAGGTCAAAAGAATATGTTAAATAGGTAAAGATTATTTTGTATGTAATAATATTCAATTTACTTAAAATATTGTTCAAATGTCTGTAATATGTAACAAACTATGATATCCTTTTTTTAAATTTTAAATACTTTAAGCTGGAATCTCAACTGTGACCATGTTGAAAGTCTGAAGCTTGAAAGTAGTTATAGCTAAGACAAATGATATACAAAGTGTATGAGCTTAACTTTCTAAAAATCACAATACTTTTCTATGTACAATTTATAAACAATAGTAATATTTTTATTATTTTTCTAGAATTACCATTTGATTTGTATATATGTTATTGTTGAAATTGTTTTTATTTTTATACTAAGTTATTTATTGTTGCTTGTTTCTTGTTATGTTATGTTTAATAAAGTATTTTTATACACGAGTACTTTTTATTATGACTCAAAAAAATAAAAACAATATAGCTCTGAGAGATGACAAAATAATTACAGAAGCTATAAAACTTCTGGGGGAACTTCTCTTCTGGAGATAATACTTCTTCAATCTCTGCTTCTATAGTCCTATAAACTGGAATTAGTCAATTACAATTCATCTGCATAAAAAGTATGACATCATGAAGTCTAAGAATTATTATCCAATATGTCTATTCAACCATCTATACAAAGATGAAGGAGAGAACAGACTGGTTTTTGCTCCAAACACGGTACAAATAACCATATATAGTGCATACAAGTCTTGATTAAAAAGCCTATAGAATACAATAGACCCCTAGTTCTAAAGTTTGTAGACTTCCATAAAGCGTTTGATACTACAGAACTACTTACACCTTTATAGAAAAGTGCAGGCACTATCGAATTGTTCGTAGTTACACATAAAGTGAACTTGGAAATCACCAAATGGCTTAAATAAGAACGACATTGACTTATAGTTATAAAATTTTTTTTTTTTTTGTTTAATAAAACTCCAACAGGAATCTTATGACTATTGCTATCTGATCATTCACCATGATCAATAAGCAAGTTAGTTCTATATATAAATATTACAAGAAACTTATCTAAGGTTATATTCAGCAATATTCCTTAGGCTCTAATACATTATAGTACTACTAGTTAACGTGTACACTTTAGCCACACTTTACTCTGCTTTTTCACTTTCACTCACTTATAGCACTAAATCAAACGGCTTCGTTCTCTTTAGTCTTCTTATCTGGTTGGCGTTGTCTAGGAGTTTGATGGCCTCGACGTTCACGTGGTTGGAGAGCCTCTGTTCATGACTCTCGGCAAACTTACTTATTGTCTGGATAACTGTATCCATCTGGAGGTCTCGATGAAGATCACAGTTTCTAAAGTACCATGGAGCGTTAACGATGTTCCTTAATACTTTATTCTGATATCGTTGTATATGTTGGATGTTGCTTTCTTTTGTACAGCCCCATAGCTGTATTCCGTATGTCCATATCGGTTTAAGGACTTGCTTATATAATAGCAATTTGTTGTATATAGACAGAGTGGATTTTTTCCCATCAACCAGTACATCTTTCTGAACTTAATTTCTAATTCCTTCTTTTTTTTCTTAACATGTGCTTTCCAACGTAGCTTGGAATCTAACGTCATACCCAAATATTTTGCCGTATTTGCATAAGGTATTTGATTTCTATTTATATGTACTGGGATATGTTGTTCTCTTTTGTTAGTAAAATTGACATGAACAGATTTTGTTTCATTCAATTTGATACGCCATCGGTTGGTCCAGATGTTAATTTGTTCAACAGAGTTCTGTAACATGGTAGCTGCATCCTCGTGGTTTTGTCCGACTGCTAGTATGCATGTGTCGTCTGCAAATGTCGCAATTGTGTTAGGTTCTAATGATGGAATATCGCTGGTATAGAGCAGGTATAGCACTGGTCCCAGGACACTTCCTTGTGGAACTCCAGCTTTAACTTCTCTTAATTCTGAATATGCTTCCTCATATTTAACTCGAAAGTATCTGTCTGATATATATAGTTATAAAAAATGACGCGGTTCAAGACGTAACGATGTTAAATCAATTTTCAACTGGAAGTGATCATAGAATAGTTAGAGCGAAGATAGTCTTAAACATAAAGAATGAAAGAAGAAACATAGTAACATGGACTGAAAATGTCACATTTATTTCGATTACACAAGGGCGTACTAGGAAGAAATAGAGAGTAACCTACAGAAAGATGTGCAAAATGAAAACAATATTAAATAGCAATCGTAAAATAGTTTCGAAACACAATTATATTTGCTGTCTTTTTCACAATATTAAATAGCTTAACAAAATGTTGCTGGATGCCCCAAAGAAAGCACGTAAGAAATAAAGATATAAATAACAGTAAAGAAGCAGTTAGTACCATAGAATAAATATTTTAAAACGAAAGTTAAAGACAGGAACGAGGATGAGTACTACAAAACCTTATATAATCGAGATGCTCACATTCAAGAGGTAGAAATCGATGCAGTACAAAATCAAGGATCAGAGGAACTTCCAGATATATCCAAAGGAATAAAATTCTTGATAGAGAAAGTTATAGAATACAACAAAAGTCTTAAAATTGGGATAGGTCACGGCTTGCAACTTAACATAACGACTGTCAGCAGAATATTCTGAATTGATTGTCGATTAAAAAACAATGCTTTTAAATATATAATGTCCAAGGTCTGCTTACAATAAAAATATCATTTTAATAATCATTCTACTAATATCACGTTCTTAGTATTGACCTAATTTAAATTCGAAACGCAAGAAAATAATTAAATTTAAAACTATATTCTTCTTCTTCTAGTGCCATCTCCACTAATGAAGGTTGGCTGTAACCATTGCAAATTCGTCTCTATCTTCTTTTTTTCTTAAGAGAGCCTGTGCACAGAATAATAAACAATCAGAATACCCACTCTCCACGGAAAATTAAGTACGCGCATCTCCTTCGCGCAGACGTTCTGCCATGTTTTAGGAGGATTTTAAAGAAATTAGTGTTGTTTATGTGGTGTGCGTGGAAAAAAAAACCAGGTTTATTTGACTTACGGCAATCATAGACATACTATACAATTATATTAACATTGTTAAATATAATAACATAAATATAATATAATTAAACATAAATATAAACAATTACATAACCTCACAAATCATATGTCTGTGTTATGTGTTTCCTTCTAAAACATGGCGCGCGTGCTGAAAAACTTCAAAGGCGGCATCTGAGAGTGGCCCTTCTGATTGTTTATTATTATGTGGCCTGTGTGTGAACCCGGTCCAGTCGCGAAGGTTTTTCAGCCAGGATATTTGTCTTCTACAAGGATCCCTTTTCCTTCGATTTAACCCTTCATAATCAGCTGCAACAACTCGTACTTATCATTTCTAAGTATGTGCCCTAAATAATTACAGCTGTCTTTCGCCTTTTAATGGTGGTGAAAACTAAAAAAAAACTTAGTATCTTAAGAATTATTAAAATAACTTAAGGATTTGTTTCCCTTATCTTACATATGGCTTATCTGGATAAAAAATTTTGTTCATCGACATAAAATAGTTTTTTAGGTCTTAAGGCTTTAGATCTATTGGTGATTTTTCTCAAGATATTCTTCTTCTTCTTCAGATGCAAATCCACTAATGGATGTTAGCGATCACATTTTCCATTAATTCTCTATTTCTTGCAATATGTATCAGAGATTGTATGTCGTTAATCCCTGTCCATTGCCTTATGTTTCGGAGCCAGGACATTTTCTTGCGTCCCATTCCTCTCTTGCCTTCAATTTTACCCTCGATTATAAGTTGGAGGAACTGGTATTTTTCATTTCGCATGATGTGACCTAGATACGCCGTTTTCCTTTTCTTGATGGTTTCGAAAAGTTGGCGTTCTTGGTTTATTCTTTTAAGGACATCTATATTTGTGATTTTCGCTGTCCATGGTATTTTTAGGATACGGCGATAAAGCCACATTTCGAAAGCTTCCAATCTGTTTATATCCCTCGTTTTGAGTGTCCAGCCCTCTACGCCATATAGCAGCACTGACCATGCGTAGCACTTAGTAAACCTTAGTCTCAGTTGAAGATCGAACTCAGAACAAGTCAGTACCTTCTTGAATTTTACGAAAGTTTTGGACCAGTACCTGTGTTGCTACTATTGCTTCTCGTGTTCCTAAAACTTGCCTAAACCCGAACTGGGAATCACTGATGTCCCATTCACATTTTTTGTATAATCTTTGATGTAGTATTTTTAAGAATATCTTTAAAGTGTGACTCATCAGGCTAATGAGTCTGTGATCCTCACATCTTTTTGCATTGACTTTCTTGGGCAGGGGAATAAAGGTAGAGCGTAACCACTGTTGAGGATAGCAGCCAGTTTCATAAATTAAATTAAATATTTTGTGTAGTGCTGAAATTCCCCTTTCATCTAGTAATTTGAGTATTTCTGACGGGATCTCATCTGGTCCAGGTGCCTTATTGTTTTTTGAATTTAATATTGCTTTTTCTATCTCCTCTTTGGTGATTGAAGGGCCAGTCAGCTGGTCGTCTGTATAAACTTCACTCATGGGTCTTTCGTCATGGAAGAGCTCCTGGATATAATTTTCCCATATATCAATTTTCTCCTTTTCACCCAGCACTATCTGGTTATCCTGATTAACTATGGTAGTTGGTCTTCGTTTTCTGTATATTCCAGCAGTCTCCTTAAGCTTTTTATGTAAATTACGGTCGTCGTGCTGTCTTTGTAAATGTTCTAGATCGATACATTGTTGCTTAAGCCATTCATTTTTTGCTATTCTTATTTTTGCTTTTATTTGCCTGTTAATGTTTTCATACATATTGCTGCCATCTTGGTTATTCTTGTGTCTTCGTCGTTCTTCCATTAGTAATAGGATTTCTTCTGTCATCCATTTTTGCCTCTTGTTATTTCGTTTGTACCCTAAGTTGTTTTTCATGATGTCTGTTACAGCACTGGTAATCGTATTCCATGTTGGTGTTATATCTTCGGTAATATTTGTCGTTAATATTTGAATTTGTGCGTTTATTTCATTGCTTATTTCTGCTTGTATCACTGGGTCTTTCAGTTTATCCAGTGCTATCTGTTGTTGAGTTTCAGGCTTGTTCTTGCATGAAAGAGCGATCTTTATGACGGCCACTAATAGTACGTGGTCAGAAGGGACATCAGCTCCGGGGTATGTGCAAGCTCTTTTGACAGTTGTGCTGAATCTACCGTTTATAAGAATGAAGTCTATCTGGTTTCTTAAAATGTTATGAGCTCTATCGGCTGGAGATTTCCAAGTATATAGGCGACGGGGGTGGAGTTGGAACCATGTGTTGGTAACTCTCATGTTTTCTTCTTGACAAAATTGCATAAGTCGGTCGCCCCTTTCGTTCCTTGTTCCAAGACCATAGGGTCCAACTATGTCTTCAAAGCTGCCCTT